TATGAGTGCAAATTGAAAGGAGGGTAATAAATGCTGGTACCGTGCTAGGTTATTATTATTATTAATATTTCTTATATCCTAGGGTCTGAAATGCGGACTACATTTAACTTTTGGCCATAGGTTTTGTAGTAGGGAATTAGTTTTAATTTATGCTTTTTAAACTCATTTTATGTTGCACTTTCAAAAGTTTAGCCAAGCTCAAATCCTAATATCTATTCTGATTTTAATGAATTCCATCTTTGAGTGAACTTTAGTATGCCTGTTATTAAAATACAGTCAAAGCAACATTCCCAAGGTAGCAACTGACCTTTATTAAGGATACTATGAACATATTTTCTATTCAGCAGGGGTCCCCTCTCCTCACAAGAAGTAGAATATTGGATCTTGATTGGAGAATCAAGTAGAAAACATCCTGCCATTCATTGTAAAAAGTAGGTACACCTTTGTTTTTCTCTACGTTGCAGGACCATTTATGAAGAGTTAAATGCACAGACTTGGAACACTGCCAGCGTGCTATCGAAGTCCCTTCATCAGCCCTTCCTGCCAGTGCCCATAATGCATAATCCTTGTTCTGATTTCTGCCACCCTAGATCTGCGTTCCCTTTGCTCGAGTACCATGTGTATAGAATCATATACATTTTTATGTCTGCCCTCTTTTATTTAAAGATTGCTTTTAAGTTCCCCCATTTTTTCATGTGTATCAGTAGTTTAGTCTCCCCCCCACCTTTTTTTTTAACTGCTGAGAAGTATCCCAGCAAAAAAGGGAGGACTTTGAACAAGATGGCTTGACACAATAGCTGCAGCCACAGGCTCAGGCATAAGAGGATGGCTCAGGCTCGGCAGTATGATGCTCTGTGGGTTTGCTAAGAATTGCAACCTATGTGATGATTCCTAGTAACAGCAATATTCCATTATATGAAAATATGCTACAATTATTTATCCATTCTCCTGCTGATGGATTTTTAAGATTCCTTTTGGTTTGGGGTTATTGTGAATAAAGCTATTGGGAACATTTCCTGGACAAGTCTTTTACTAAACTTTTACTAAAACTATTGAGACATAATTCACATACTTAAAAGTTCATAATTTTAAAAGTACAGTTCAGTGGTTTTTATGTTAGCACAGAATTCTGCGTCAGTCATTACTGTGTAATTCCAGATCATTTTCATTCCCAACAGAAACCCCATACCTGTTCCTGGTTAATCCCTTATCCACAGGTCTTAACAACCACTAGTCTTTCTATCTCTGTGGATTTGCCTCTTCTGGACATTTAATCTAAATGGGATCATACAATAATGCGATCCTTTGTGATTGGATTCTTTCACCTAAGACATTTCCATGGTTCATCATATTGCATCATGGCTCAAAATACCATTCCTTTAACAGCTGAATAATTTTCCATTGTATGTAAATGGATAGATCACATTTTGTTGTGCAAGCCTTTTTGAGGACATATGTTTTGTTTCTCTTGAGTAGCTAGGAGTGGAATGTTTGATTTGTAGAATAGATGTGTAGCTGAGAAACTTCCAATGCAATTTTACTCTTTGCTAGTGCCACAGGCCCAGTGAGTTCTTGGTGCCCATCAGATTTCCACTCATATTTAATTCAGCGCTTGCCGTGGGTATGAGACAGGCGAAAGATGTGGCAGTCTGCTTCTATCAAGATCACAGCCTTGTAAGGGCCATTTCTACTCCATCCTACAGGCTTGCTACGATTTGGAATCATTAGAGGCAATGGGAGGACTGGATATGAAATTGAATCTTGTGTTTTTAATTTGCATTTTTCTAGTGTATCTACTCTTAACGTATTTTCATGCTCTTGTTTTCATTTCTACATCTGTGAAGTGTTCTGCCTATTTTATTTTTAACTGGACTTTCTTTTTGTTAGTATTTATTGGATGTCAGTATTTTCTGCCAGTCTGTTATGTGCTTTTTCATTTTAATGATATCTTTTGATGAACAGAAGTTCATTTTCTATTTTTTAAAAGACCGATTTAAAAGGAAACCCAGACTGTTTCTGCCTGAGCTTGAAGGAAGCCCCCGAACAGGTGGTACTCACGTCATAGGAAATGACTTTGTAAAAGTGAAAACCTTGGTGGCAATTGTTGAAAAAACAAATTTGTCTAAAAAACAAAAGTTAAGGTGTTTTTGGATGAAACAATCCTGATAAGGACTGCCCTGGTAATATTATAGTGATTTGCTCATGTGAAAAGTTCCATCCCAATGATATTTTGAACTTAAAACTGTACTTCTATTCTTTCTTTTTAACTATAGATGGGTAGATATTGTTGCAGATCTAAACACTCAAAATCCAGAATATTTAGATATCCGGCACTTAGAGAGGGGACTACAGTATCGAAAAACAAAAAAGGTAAGAACACTGTTGTAGCTGAACTTATTTTCTAGTTGACTGAAAATGCAGTATTTTGCTCAGTGTTCTTTAGGTGCCTTCGAGTTGGTTCCAACCCATAGTGACACAACAGAACGAACCACTGCACAATCCTGCACCATCCTCACAATTGCTCCCATGCCTGAGCCCATTGCTGCAGCCACACTGTTAGTGCATCTCCCGCTGCCTCTGCACTTAACCAAGCATGGTATCCTTCTCCAGGGATTGGTCTCTCTTGACACATGTCCAAAGTATGTAAGACAAAGCCTTGCCCTCCTGGTTTCTCAGAAGCACTCTGGCCATATTTCTTACAAGATAAATTGGATCGTCCTTTTAGCAGTCCATGGTAGTTTCAATATTCTTCTCCAGCACCACAATTAACCTCCCTGACGGTCTGATTATGTCAGTAATTTTGTACCTGAAACGGTACATTGTTTTGCATAAAATTTGTTGTTTTATATTGTAGGCCTGTAATTCTTAAGAAATGACTCATTTTTAATCTCTCTAGTAGACATTGCAGGTATGATGAACTTTAACCTCCCTGGCAGTCTAATTATGTCAGTAATTTTGTTAAGAGACTTCTCTGCAGTATAATCCCGAGTGTGGCTCAGGGTTACTGCTTCTGACAGTTAATATTTACCCCAAACCATACTCGATATTACTGCCAGGCAGGTTAAAATGCATCGATTCTTTTTTGGTTTTCCTTATTTAATCTCCAACTTTCACATGCATGTGAGGCAATTGAAATTACCATGGCTTGGTCAGGCACACCTCAATGCTCAAAGGAACAGCCTTACTTTTCAGTGCTCTAAATAGTTCTTGTGCCGCAGATTTACCTAATGTAATGCATCTTTTGACTGCTGCTTCCATGAGCATTGATTGAGATCTAAGCAAGACCAAGTCCTTGACATCTTTAACCTTTTCTCCATTTATCATGATGTTACTTGTTCTAGTTGTGAGGAATTTGATCTTCTTGCTATTAAGTTGTAAATCATGCTGATGGCTGAGATCCTTGATCTTCATCAACAAGTGCTTCAAGTCCTCCTCACTTTCAGCAAGCAAGGCTGTGTCATCTGCATATCGCAGGTTCCTAGTAAGCCTCTTTCACTCCTGATGAGCATTCTTCTTCATGTAAGCCAGCTTGTCATGATTTGCTCAGTATACAGATTGAACCAGCATGGTGAGGGGATACAATGCTGATGCCCACCTTTCCTGATGTTAAACCACGCAGTGTTTCCCTTCTTCTATTCTGTTCCATAATAAACTATGGATAACCTTGGGAAGCATGGGAATTCCAGAACATGTCAATGAGCTCATGAGGAATTCATGGATTAAGAACAATCGTCGAATATACAAACCCAGTTTAGATCATCTTAAACAGAAAAGGGAAAATTCATTTAAGGACAGAGGTGTATTTTTAAAGCCCAAGTTTGAGGCATAAAGCCTGGTCTCAAAAGGGATTGTTGTCACCTTTTGGAATGATGGACCAAGTGGTTAGTTTGCCTCTCTTTTGCAGGCTCCATGTTTTTCCATTCTATGTATTTGATTATTTACTTTCTGAAGCCATCCTCTTTCAACTTGTCTCCTTTCCGGTGCACAATATAGATGAGACAGACCTGCTTCAAGGCTAATTCTGTAGTCTTAAGACAGGATGAATAAGACTAGCTTAGCTTGGGTTTGATGTTGACCCCTGATCCACATTAACTGTGACCATGAAACAGGGTCATGAATTACAATTAAGGCCACTTGGGGAAGTTGTCAGTGAAAGGTAGATACCGTGGACTGATACTAATCCTTCTAATATGTGGAGAGTATGAATGAGGAATAGTGAGGGAGATCTGTGCGTGGTACAGAGGTATGTAGGAGGAGGTCCTTGGCCTCCCATGGTCATTGTTATAATTTGTAAAAGTACTTGTTCAAGAAAGATGTGGGAGTGCACTTTGGTAGCTAAAAGATAAAGTACTACTTAGAGGCAGGTGAAAGGGGAAAAAACAGTGTATAAGGATATAAATTTTATTATAACTAATTTCTCTTCATTTTCTTCACTTTTTTCCCAGGTTGGTGGAAATTTGCATTGCATTATAGCATTCCAGAGACTTAGTTGGCAAAGATTTGGCCTTTGGAATTTTCCATTTGGTGCCATTAGACCAGAATCACAACCTCCACCACATGCTCAAGGAATTGCCAAGTCTGAGAGTGAAGACAGTATCTCCAAGAAGCAGCACGGGCGTCTGGGCCGATCTTTCAGTGCTAGTTTCCATCAGGACTCGGCATGGAAAAAGATGTCTAGTATCCATGAAAGAAGGAACAGTGGCTACCAGGGTTACAGTGATTATGATGGGAATGATTGACTATATGTATACTGGGTACTGAGCAATTAATGTAGACAACTGGCTGGTGTATGCAGCTGGGTGGTACATATAGCTGTATTAGATAGAAGATTTTAAGTCTTGCAGTACATTTAATATGAATAGATCTTGTGGTACAAATATAACCTTCTAGTTCTCCAGTAAATAAGCTTGTATATGATTATGGTGGATGATATCAGATCTATGAGCAGATAAGCACAGATGATTTTCCTTTTAAAGTTAAGGGTACTTTAAATAAGGATAAAAAATTTCACAAAACCCAATTAAAATGATCACTGTTTTCTAAAGTCAAATTCAGTAGTAGTATTGTGACA